AAAAAAAAAAAAAAAAAAAAAAAAAAAAAAAAAAAAAAAAAAAAAAAAAAAAAAAAAAAAAAAAAAAAAAAAAAAAAAAAAAAAAAAAAAAAAAAAAAAAAAAAAAAAAAAAAAAAAAAAAAAAAAAAAAAAAAGACTTAAATGTAAAAGCCAAAACCGTAAAAACCCTAGAAGAAAACCTAGGAGGCCAGGCACTGAGGCTCACGCCTGTAATCCCAGCACTTTGGGATGTCAAAGTGGGCACATCACCTGAGGTCGGGAGTTTGAGACCATCTTGACCAACATGGAGAAACCCCATGCTCTACTAAAAATACAAAACATTGGCCAGGTGTGGTGGCACATGTCTGTAATTTCAACTACTTGGGAGGCTGAGGCAGGAGAACCACTTAAACTCTAAAGGAGGAGGTTGCAGTGAGCCAGGATCACCTCATTTTACTTCAGCCTGGGCAAGAAAGACAGAAAAGAAAGAAGAGAATAAAAGAAAAGAAAAGAAACGACAGGAAAGAAAAAAAGAAAATCTAGAAACTACCATTCAGGATATAGGAATGGGCAAAGATTTCATGACAAAAAATGCCAAAAGCAATTGCACCAAAAGCCAAAACTGACAAGATCTAATTAAACTAAAGAGGTTCTGCGCAGAAAAAGAAACTATCATCAGAGTGAACAGGCAACCCACAGGATGGAAGAAAAATTTTGCAATCTACCCATCTCATAAAGGTCTAACATCCAGAATTTACAAGAAACTTTGTTTTCAAACAATCTCATCAAAATTGGGCAAAAGATAAACAGACACTTCTGAAAGACATTTGTGCAGCCAACAAAAATATGAAAAGTAGCTCAACATCACAGATAATTAGACAAAACCAATCAAAACCACAATGAGATATCATCTCACACTAGTCAGAAAGGTGATTATTAATTAAAAAGTCAGAAACAATAATGCTGGTGAGGCTGTGGAGAAATAGAAATGCTTTTACACTGTTGGTGAAAATGTATATTAGTTCAACCATCATGGAAGACAGTGTGGTGATTCCTCAAGGATCTAGAATCAGAAATATCATTTGACACAGCAATCCCATTACTGGGAATATACTCAAAGGAATTAAGTCATTCTACTACAAAGACACATGCACATGTATGTAATAGTTTATTGCATCACTATTTACAAAGCAAAGATATGGAACCAATCCAAATGTCCATCAATAAAAGACTGGATAAGTAAAATGTGGTACATATACACCATGGCATAGTATGCAGCCATAAAGGGAAATAAGATCATGTCCTTTGCAGGAACACATATTAAGCTGGAAGTCATCATCCTTAGCAAACTAAAACAGTGATAGAAAACCAAAAAACACATGTTCTCACTCATAAGTAAGAGTTGAACAATGAGAACACATGGACACAGGGAGGGGAACAATACATACCATGGCCTGTTGTGAAGTGGGAAGAAAAGGGAGGGCACATAGAGGATGGATCAATATGTGCAGCAAACCACCATGGCACACATTTACCTATGTAATAAACCTGCACATTCTGCACATGTATCCAGAAACTTAGAATAAGTATTCAACATATCATCATTACCAGGTGTGGTGGCTCACACCTGAAATCCCAGTACTTGGAAAGGCCAAGGCAGGTGGATCACCTGAGGTTGGGAGTTCGAGGCCAGCCTGACCAACATGTGGAAATCCCATCTCTACTAAAAATACAAAAGTTAGCTGGGCGTGGTGGCACATGCCTGTAATCCCAGCTACTTGGGAGGTTGAGGCAGGAGAATCTCTTGAACCTGAAAGGCACAGGTGCCAGTGAGCTGAGATTGTGCCTTGCACTCCAGCCTGGGCAACAAGAGCGAAACTCCATCTTAAAACAAAAAAGAATTCATTATTAAGAAAGCCTTTTTTTTCCTCTTTCTCCTTCTTCTCTAGGATTTCTTCTCAGGTAAGATTCTCTGGACAAATTACACCTGCATCTTGAGAATATGCCTTGAATGGTGTTGGCACCACATTTACCTGCTACCACCATACCCACAGGCAGAAGAACCAAGACAGAAAAATTCCACCCATTTTGTATTTTGTAATAGAAGAGATTCAGAAACAATAAGCTGCTCCACAGATTAAAAAATAAATATATGAGTTTCTCCTTTCCCATCCTCAGGCACCCTCCCCTGCCAGCAATTTCTGCTACAATAATGAAAATATAAGCCATACTGCCCTGTCCCTATGAAACCCAAAGAAAAGAGGCTCTAGGACCACCTTTTAGTGCACAGGTGAATCCTAAACTCTCACAAATGCATCTTAAATCCCCTATTCTTGATTCTGACCACAACCTAAGAGTTATATGAGGCAGTTAAATAATATAACATGAATGCTTCCACCCAGAACATTAATTGGAAAGTGTGACAGGAAGAACACCAGTAAAGATAGTTCTGAAAATTAGCCATGTGATTCTAATTAGCAGCCTAAACTTATAACCACATAACTAAGCATTGCATCTCAAGCTTTAATGAGATTATAAATCACTTGGTAATGTTGGTACCACTCTATGTAATGTGATTGTACAGTTTTGGAAAGGGTTCATGAATGGGTGTTTTAAATAAGACCCCTGCCAATGCTGATGATGCTCCCCCTGGTCTCATTATGAGCATTAGTTAGAGAAAGCAGGCACAACACAAAGTCTCTTGGCACTTTTGTCACAACACAGATACTTCTCACACAGATAAAGACTACCAATCTCCATCTTAAAGTACCATAATCTTTGCTGGCTTTCTAAAGTTTACAGAGAAAACACAAAGCAGCAATATCTGACTAGGTCTGAATTTATTTATTTATTTAGACGGAGTCTCACTCTGTTACACTGGCTGGAGTGCAGTAATGAGATCTGCACTTACTGCAACCTCTACCTCCCAGATTCAAGCAATTCTCCTTCCTGAGCTTCCCTAGTAGCTGGGACTACAGCTTTGCACCACAATACCTGGCTAATTATTTTTCTTCGTACTTTTAATAGAGATGGGGTTTTACCATGTTGGTCAGGCTGGTCTTGAACACCTGACCTTAAATGATCAGATAGCCTTGGACTCCCAAAGTGCTGGGATTACTGGTGTCAACCACTGCACCAGGCCTTAAGTCTGTATTTAGAAAACAAAATGTATACAAATACTAATGCAATGTTTATTAAGCAGGTCAAATGTGCTCAATAAGATTTTACAGAGCACTGTAACAACACATTATTGGACTTAATTCTAATAACACCCTATGTGTTGATACTAAGTGTTCAATAATTCCAAATATTTAGGAAAAAAAACAGAATTTTTATTTCTTCCCGTTTCTCTGTTCTTGATTTTATTTAAAAAATGTATAAAATAAAATCTAAATACAAACAGACACAAGTCAAACAGAAATGGAAGAGTTTAATGTAATTTACAAAACTTTGTATGGTATTTATATTCACTTTTTGTGACTTATAAAGAAACTGCTAGATCTGCAGGACAGAAAACAAGTTGCTAAATAGAATGTCACTGCAAGCACTAATTTTAAAGTTAAAAATTTAGAAATGAGACCCTAAAATGCATACTTCATGTTTCTCATTTATCTGCTTTTAGGTTTCAGAAAACTCTGAGCACCAGCTCTAAAAGTAGAACAAGATTCATCACTCAAAACTCTGATCTCTTCTATTCTGTTCCATGAGGTGACTCCAAGGTAGGGCCAGACCTAAATAGGGCCTCCAAAAAGGGTGAATCTGAAAAGGGCTGGGGCAGGGAGTGGACCCTATGTAGAATCTGGTTCTCTATACCACTGGGTGTATTTCCAGTTCTGTTTTTCTTAAACTTACCTAAGAGAAACTTAAATTTCAGAGTGTGTGTAATTTTAATCTTTTTGAGCCACTGCCCTGTCAATTTCATATCATATACTAATAAGCAATTGAAACAAATCACTTTCCATTTTCTAGGATAATTTTTTTAGGAAATAAATATGTATTGTTAACAAGGTAAAAAAAAAAATACAAATAATAGGCTGGGTGTGGTGGCTCATGCCTGTAATCCCAGTACTTAGGGATGCCAAGGCAGGCATTCCACACCAGCCTGGCCAACATGAAGAAACTCGGTCTCTACTAAAAATACAAAAATTAGCGGGGTGTGGTGGCACAGACCTGTAATCCCCGCTACTATAGAGGCTGAGGCGGGAGAATCACTTGAACCCAGAAGGCAGAGGTTGCAGTGAGCTGAGATCAAGCCACTGCAACCCTGCCTGGGCAACAGGGTGAGACTCCGTCCCCACCCACCAGGAAAAAATACAAATAATAATAACAATGCTTCTGCTCATAAATCTCCCTTCTGATGAAAACATCAGAAGTCAGAACAATATTAAAAAAGTGAGGGCCAGGTGTGGTGGCTCACGCCTGTAATCTCAGCACTTTGGGAGGCCGAGGCAGGTGGATCACCTGAGTTTGAAAGTTTAAAACCAGCCTGACCATGGAGAAACCCCGTCTGCAGTAAAATAAAAATACAAAATTAGCCAGGCATGGTGTCTAATGCCTGTAGTCACAGCTACTCGGGAGGCTGCGGCAGGAGAATCACTTTAACTTGGGGAGCAGAGGTTGTGGTGAGCCCAGATCACGCCAACGCATTCCAGCCTAGGCAACAAGAAAAACCTCTGTCTCAAAGAAAATAAAAGTAAAAAGAAAGTGGTCCAAATAAAGCCCAAGCTTTTGCACACATCTATTTATTGTACTCACCATATAATGCATAATTCAACCTTTAATCCAGTTGCTAGTATAGACTAAAAGTTTCTTGATTGTAGGGATCATGTCTGCTTTATCCATTTTTCTAATGACTACATGAGAGGAAAGCCAATTGATTTATGTGTTTGAGTTCCATACCTCCTTCTTGTTTTTCACTCAAGTACAAGGAAAGCGGAGAAACTCTCATTTGGGCACCAAACAAAAACATTTCTTCTATAAGGTGAAGAACAAATACAGAATAAGTCACTTCTCTTAGAAATGACTTACCACTCTTGTCAGCCTAATAAAATTCTGCTCTGGACATTCTCAAATAACTCAAAAATGCCTAGGTGATTGTGATAGGGTTCCCAGTGACCCTGTGCTGGTGGCCCAATGACATGTCAGACAGGAGAGAATCAGGCTAATTCTTTTCTATTTATTATTTTTTATTGAGATGGAGTCTCGTTGCCCGACATGGAGGCTTATGCCTATAATCCCAGCACTTTGGGAGGCTGAGGTGGGTGGATCATGAGGTCAGGAGTTCAAGACCAGCCTCGCCAAGATGATGAAACCCCATCTCTATTAAAAATAAAATAAAATTTAAATTCAAAATAAAAGAGGTGGAGTCTTGCTCTGTTGCCCAGGCTAGAGTGCAGTCATGCAATATTGGCTCACTGCAACGTCCACCTCCTAAGTTGAAGCAATTTTCCTGCCTTAGCCTCCCAAGTAGCTGGGACTACAGGTGCATGCCACTACACTGGGCTATTTGTATTTTTAGTAGAGATGTGGTTTCACCATGTTGGCCAGGCTGGTCTCAAACTACTGACCTTAGGTGATCCACCCGCCTCGACCTCCTAATGTGCTGGGATTACAGGCATGAGCCACCATGCCGACAATTCAGGCTGATTCGAAAAAAATAAAAAAATAAAAAAAAATAAAAAATGAACCTGCCCCGGTGAAGCTCGAGAACCTAAATTACCTGTCAAGATGAGCTAGCTCTTGGGGAAGAGCAAGAACAAGAATACTGTACTCCAGTGTCACATTTTTATGCAAAGGTATAGTTGTGCTTATGGCTCTGGAGAGTTCAGTCTTGATCTTTCACTCCTAAGATACTTGTTTACACTTATAGATTCTGCCATCAGATTCTGTTTAGTCTTCGAGCCTCTCACAGAACTGCAGCAGGTCACTGAACAAGACCTGAAAAGCTCAAAGAGCCACACTCTCAAAGATCTCTGTGTTGACATTGTGCAATGCAGAAAATGCCTCCTCTTAGTTTTCCATACATATTCTATCCAAAGTCTACATTGTCTTGTAAATATGAGGCAGAGGGCAAAACTTATGTGAAGATTCTAGGTGGGATTAACCTAGCTGCAGTTTTGGGTGTTACAGCAAGTAAAGTACAGTTCAAAGAGAGATTTCCCCATATCATGTCCCTGACAGAGCAAGACTGTATTAAAAAAAAAAAAAGTGGGGGGATTTGTAAAACCAAAAAGAAACAACAGAGTGAACTGACAAAAAGTTGTTTCTCGGACAGGCACAGTGGCTCACACCTGTAATTCCAGCACTTTGGGAGACCAAGGGGGGTGGGGGGGGCGAATCACCTGAGGTCAGGAGTTCGAGACCAGCCTGACCAAAATGGTGAAACAATGTCTCCACTAAAAATACAAAAATTAGCCAGGTGTAACAGTAGGTGCCTGTAATCCCAGCTACTTGGGAGGCTGAGGCAGGAGAACCACTTGAACCTGAGAGGCTAAGGTTACAGTCAGCCAAGATTGCTATTGCACTCCAGCCTGGAAAACAAAAGCAAGACTATCTCTCATAAAAAGAAGAAAAATAAAAGAGGCCAGGAGTTCAAGACCAGCAAAGCCAAGATAGTGAGTGAAACCCTGTCTCTAATAAAAATACAAAAATGTTAGCTGGGCATGGTGGCAGATACCTGGAATCTCTGCTACTCAGGAGACTGAGACAGGACAACTGCTTGAACCTGGTAGGTGGAGGTTGCTGTGAGCCGAGATGGTGCCACTGCACTCCAGCCTGTGTGACAGAGCGAGACTCTATTTAAAAAAAAAAAAAAAAAGTTGTTTCTCAGGCAGTCTTTTTTTTTTGGTCATTAGTTATCATTAGCTTTTTATAAAAGAGAGATATGGAAATTATTTACATGATAAAAGATTTCAGAACTTCAGTAGAATGGGCTGCTTCATGTTGATGCAATTCAATAGTGATTTATTTCAGTCTACGTACTTTCCAAGAATGTCACCGTCTCTAAATAGAAAATAATCCTTGTCACCTAGAACTATTTTGGTGCCTCCATATTCTGGGAGAAGAACTTTACCTCCAACTTTCACACTAACTGGTTGAATCTCTCCACCCTTTCCTTTAGAACCTGATCCAACAGCAACTACTGTTGCTTGCAATACTTTTCCTTGAGATTTTTCTGGAAGCATAATGCCTCCTTTGGTTACAGTTTCAGCAGCACTCCTTTCAAGCAGTACTCGGTCAAAAAGTGGAAGAAACAGGAAAGTCTTCTTTATTTAAAGAAATAACTTTGATTATGGATTGGCTATACATCACTAAGGGTTAGGGTATATGATATAGTGTCTTCTGTGACATTATTAGTTTAATTTATACATACTTGTGGCAATCGTGAACAGTTTCAAGAGATAGGTAGTTGAAAGGGGGAGAAAGACATAACTGTGCTCTCATTTTAATGTCTCTCTGTGTTTGATAACTAAAAGGGCTTTCATTCCTCAGATAAAATCTCAAGACCTAGATTTGTAATTTGGGGCTGCAGATTTAGGTCCAAAATGGGTGGAGTAGCAGCACATGCTGCCTGCACATTTGAGCATTTTAGCAAGAGGAGAAAAAGGAAAGTGGACATTTGCATATCTACATGTCTACTAAATGCACTCATGTTACTCTAATTGCGTTTCTAGGACCCATGAGCTCTCAATCCGTTTGAGGTCTTACAATGCAAGTCACTGAAAGAGGTAAAATGATTGACTGCTCCCCTGGAAAGTGTGCAGTAATCTCATCTAGCCTCTCTAGAAGTGATTGTAGAGGACTATAGATACCAAACATGCAGAGACATAATTCTGCCTGCATATTTAGGAGACAACATGCACTTTACAGGATAACTGTAAGTTCAAGAAAAGCCTGGAATGGAAAGGCCCCTCTAGAGTAAAGCTTGGTAGGAACCTTATGTGTTTACAGTATGTCTTCTAATTCTAGACAGTGTTTGGGAAATATAATTACAAGAAATATTTTCTCCAGCCCCAGGAAAACTCCACAATAACACGACTGTTAGAAAACAAAACTGAAAGGCCAGGTGCAGTGGCTCACACCTGTAATCCCACCATTTAGGAGGCCCAGGTGGGCAAATCACCTCATGTCAGGTGTTTGAGAACCTGACCAACATAAAGAAACCTCATCTCTACTAAAAATACAAAATAAACCGGGAGTGGTGACAAATGATTGTAATCCCAGCTACTCAGGAGGTTGAGGCAGGAGAATCACTTGAAAGCTGGAGGCAGAGATTGCAATGAGCCAAGATTGCACCATTGCAGTTCAGCCTGGGCAAAATGAATGAAACTGTCAGAAAACAGAAAAAGGGGAGGGGCAGGGGAGAGGGGGAAGAAAGAGAGAAAGAGAGAAAACAAAACAAAATTGTAAGCCAAGTGTGGTGGCTCATGCCTGTAATCACAACACCTTGGGAGGCCGAGGCGGGCAGATCACGAGGTCAAAAGTTTAAGACCAGCCTGGCCATATGGTGAAACTCTGTCTCTACTAAAAATACAAAAATTAGCTGGGCATGCTGGCACATTCCTGTAATCCCAGCTGCTCGGGAGGCTGAGGCAGGACAATGGCTTGAACCCAGGAGGCAGAGCTTGCAGTGAGCTGAGATAATGCCACTGCCCTGCAGCCTGGGCGACAGAGGGAGACTGTATACCCCCCTCAAAGAAAAAAGAAAAAAACACAGCATTTTAATTTAATAAAATAAAAGACACTAAAATTATGCTTACTATAATTATCTGCATTGGATAAATTAATAAGCATGTCAGACTAATACCTACAGTAAGTTTGGTAGTAAATTTTCTTTGAATATTAGATATAAATATCTGTTAATAATTTTAATATACTACTCATAATGTATGTAGGATTTTGAAAAATTGTAACTAGTACAGTTAAAATACTTTATATTACAAAAGTATGAGCACCAATATTAAAACAACTATTTATGGTATTTATTCAAAGTAAATATTGCCAAATATTCATACTATTGTAGAATATATACTGTTTAATTTATATAAATGCAGGTTGTCTAAAAAGACCACACATAACTATGCTAATTGTTTTAAAGTAATAAACAGGAAAAAAAAGTCAAACTACAGGCTTCATTGTTCAGTTTACACACTAAACTATTTTTGCTTTTGCATTGTAGGTACTTCAGCCTGCAAATAATTACCTGGATAATTACATTTCTGTCAAAGAAACTTACTTTGTATTTTTTAGTCTTTATCATCTGTACTGCTAACTTTTAAATAAACCTTTGCCAAAGCAAAAACAAAGCAATAAACCTTAGGTCCCGAATAAAGACAATCCTGAGTCAAAAGGAATGACAAAAGGTTTATTTAGATGTTAATATAATTTACATGTATTTCAAAAAAACAAAGAAAAAAATCTACATATAATCTAAATGCTTTAATACAACAGAGATGAACAAAACATTCTCCTCTATTTTCACATATGTGAATAAAGTCTCTTATTTTTAATTTATATTTTCTCCTAAAATAACTAGGTCAGTAAACATATTCTTGAACTCTTGGACATTTGAATTGTGAACTTCAAAGAATGTTTATGGTAAAAAAACAAAAGCAGAAGAGAGAAAGATGTTATAATAAATTGATGGGTGCACATAAATAAGTTTTTAAGAAACGTATGAAGAGAATGGGATACTGATACAATAATAGTGGGAAACTACAACACCCACAGGTACTAATAGACACATTATTGAGGCAGAAAATTAACAAAGATATCAAGACTTAAACTCAATGCTTGACTAAATAGTCCTCTTAGACTTTTACAGAACTCTCCATCTAAAAATAACATACTATACAATCTTCTCATCACCACGTGGCACATACTCTAAAATTGATCACACAGTCAGAAGCAAAACAATCCTCAGCAAATTTAAGAATTCCAAAATTATATGAATCACAGGCAGAGGCCACAACTTG